TAGGGAAGAATTGTTTTGGGCTCAGTTGTGATTCTTGCTTTTCTTTCCTAGTTTACTTGTAAGATTCAAGGAGGGGCTGCAGCTCGCGCCTCTCCCTGGGATGTTGTATGAACTCACTCTAAATCTGCTTCTGAATTAATAAATTTATTGTCACTCATCAAAAAAAAAGATGGGAAGGAAATATGGTGGCACCACATTTGGGATTATACTATTAACAATGCTATAAATCGGATTAAAGCCCCGAACTTGTTTTCACACTTTTCCTTTGGTGATGTTTGGCAGTATTAGGAAGTGGTTGCAAAAAGTTCTATTGCCAAAGATAAACCTGTGATAGATTGGAGGCCCTCTGAAGAAGGATTTATCAAGCTAGATTTTGTTGGCTGTAGACCTGTAGTCTAGGCAATCCTGGGTCCTATGGTATTGGGGGAGTGTTCAAAAATGTAGTAAGGTCAGATTATAGAATTATTCTCGGGTCCCATATGAGTGGGGGTGCTGTTAATGCAGAAAGTCCGTAGTCCTGCAGAGAGCAGAGATTGCTAAAGAGCTAGGCTGATTGAAGGTGACTCCAAACTGGCAATTGGGTGGCTGATGGAACCAAAGACAGTGGCTTGGTTCTTTAGGGGGGCTGATGAGGCAAGAAAAAAAAAAGAAAAAAAAAGTGTGAATGTATTCTGTTTTGCATGTTTTTCTTGTAGTAGGATCCCAAATTGTTGTTTTTGGGTAGCTTTGTTGATAGTTTGGGACCAGGGGTATTTTCGTAGTTTTGGACAAAAAGTTCAAGCTATTCAAGAGTGGCCAAGACCAAAGACCTTAACTAAAATTTGTAGTTTCCATGGGCTAGCAACATTTTATCGTCGGTTTATAAAGAATTTCAACACTATTATGGCACCCATTATTGAATGCTTGAAAGGAGGTGAGTTTACTTGGATTCCCGCAGCTGAGAAAAGCTTCCAAGAGCTAAAGATGAGGATGACAAAGGCTCCAATATTGGGTTTACCTGATTTTAACAAGCTCTTTGAAGTTGAATGTGATGCATCCCATGTAACAACACAATATCGGGTTATTCCCTTCGGAGTAGGTCTTTGATCACCCTTCTCTTTCTTGCACTCCCTAACCCTCTTACATTCCAGTTAATAATTTTCATCGAGACAAAATAGCAATAAAAACCCGTGAAAAGGCCATAATCTCCTCATTTTAGGCCCTTCCTCCTATCTCTCTTACCACTGAATTCTAAATTCCCCTCAATGTCTGAGATTAGCCTTTCCACTTCAGATCTTTTTTTCTTCTTTGTTCCTTTTTTCCCCCCCTTCTTAATACAACAATCATCCTTTTTCTTTTTTCCATCCTTTCCAGCCAATGTCCGTGGAAGAATTTTACCCTGCTCACACTTATTTTGGCTACAACATGTCTCTAAGAATCCTTCCTTTTTTTTAGTTCCTCCATCAGTGTACAGATCAACTCCCAAATTCTGTCCGCCTCCCCCTTAATACTTCCTTCCATCACCCTCTCTCCTCCTTCCACTATCAACCTCTCTCTTGCATCAGAACCTCCTGGATGGGAAGCTGGAATATCTGTTACAAGCATAGCAGACAAGTCAGTACCTAAAAAAGAATTGACACCCATACCTGGTAGGACGGGGGTAGGACTAGAATCACTGGAATTGAATTGCTGACATGTGACAAATGGTTTTAAGGCCTTTCCCCTTTTTGGACAAAGTTGTGAAGTAGACATAGTGAAAGAATCACTTCCTGACGACCTACCCACTTGAAAACCTTTCTCTGTGTTTCCGACACTGGAATACCCACATCCATCCTCACGGCTGATTCTTGTCCCTCTCCACCAACATCCTGTAATTCATTAGACTCAGGGTCAGCTCCCTCGACGAAGGGAAGAGGAGTTTTCACAGCTTTAGGACCATTTTCTTCACCATTTCTAGTCTTCCCGCCACCTGCCTCTTCAATCTCTTCCTCTAAAAACAACAACTCTATATGCAAACTGTCTATTTCAAGTAAATCATTGTTGCTTTTCGGAGACAGACTTCCCAAACTTAAAGTTTCGTCTCTATCAGAATCGTCACTGCTGTTTTGTTCACTCAACCAATCTTCAAACCCTGTTATGTTCAAATCACTAGGCTTCAGGTATCTCGGGTTGCGCCTATCTGGTGAGAGACGGTTTGCCAGGTTCGATGGGACCCAGTGTAGAAAGCCTCGAGACTGAGAGTCTTGAGATTTTGCGCCTAAACTGTTCGATTGAAAGGAGGGATTCGGGGTAGAAGAAGATAGATGCTTAATCTCGTCTATCAGCTCATCCCTCCTCCCAGTCACATGCTTACTTAAAGGGTCCCTTGGCCCATCTGTCTTGTAATGGGCCTTGGGCTCAAAACTTGTAATATAAGAACCCAACTTTAAAGCCTTTATGTGAGTTGCCTTCTCCGGC